TAGGTGTGGTTATATTTGTACCCTATCGTATAAACCAATTCGCACAAATAACATGATAACAAACGAGATTGCCCTGTTGCGCAATATCAAAATGGTTATCCTGAGGAGTGTGTTGACAAGTCCCGTAATCTAAAAACTGAGAATCCTGTAGTGAATTGCATGGTTGGATATAGTCGGATTCTGTCTAGTCGATAATTGGCACGTACCGTACACACAGACGCCCAGTTCTTCAATCTTCAAGCGTACAATGATGATCTAACACCACATCGATCTACAATAATGATAAAACTAAGATACCTAGGCATGTCGATTTAGTCTCTTTACGGACTTACACAAAAGACATTCTGCTTTGGTGAGCATTCTCTCATCCACAACTAGTTTTGGAAAGTTTTGCAAACCACTCCCAACCCCATAGAAACAATTTATTTGTTTGTAATAGGCACGAGGTGAGATGCACCGAAATCATCCAGGACATAAACGGTACCATATTGCTAAGCTGGTTTCCCTTTACAAATAAACAAAAGACCGAAATTTTAGGTCTGATGTAACAAAAACTAACCGGCTATAGCAAGAGCTCCTAGCTCTTTAATACAAATCAGCCCAATCCGATGCAGAAATGGGAAGAATCATCTATTCATTAGCTGGTGCAAAAATCGATGCCGTTTTGCAATTTGGTTCTCGGTATGCTTCAGGGCGACCAGCAAAATGAGGACACATGTGCCGTGATAAATCGTAGGAGCAAATGATTTTTTCTGATTTTCAGAAAGTTATCGATCAATAAGAGATTGCTGACGACACTGTGAAAGAAACGTCCTCTGACAGTGAAAAGACAAACCAGGCTTTTACTCCTGTGCATCATTAGGACTATCTAACATTTCAAACGGTTACTGTCAGAGCAAGCGATCATACCCGCTGATCTTGGATCGTGATGTCAATTTGCCATGGTATGTGTAGACGAACCTTAGTCTTGTTCTAAATGGGTAAAATAACTACCATCGATTAGGAGTATACGACATATGATGAGAGACCTCCGGTGCAGAGCCTTTTATCAAGTTTTGTCATTCGCTGTTTATTTTTTACATCACAAGTATCAAAGCATTAGTCAAATCTGAGAAGTATGATTGATTATGACTAGAATAATTCGATGTCACGCGGTAGTTCTGCTTAAATGTTTGTGTTCGATGTGCTTACCGATCCAAACTCATACGAACTTTGTTCTAGTATGTACCCGAACACCCGTGTATTTTAAGGAGCCATTCAAAGCTGAAATCATTTACGAGACCGGGTCTTATTGCGGTGATTGATGACACGTATACTGCAGCCTAATGTTCGGAGATTAATAGCAGGCTACTCGGTTCACCTACCGAGATCCAGTATCGGCTTACCTTTGAGTGAGCCCAAGGGGTAGGGAGGAGTAACAGAAGATAAAATTCTTTGTGAAACACAACCAAGGCTCTAGTAGTGCTTGTTCAGACCATATGTAATGGCCAAGCACAGAAGTGAATTATGGACGTTGAATCCTATTCTTCCAATTCAGCTGTTCGCCGAGCTTGGCAAACCAATAAATCACCCTACCCGATTCAACTTCCCAGGCAACCAGAGGCCTACTTTTTGAGAATTACAGGTTAACCTTCATACCGAAACCAAAGATTTGGCTCCTAGGATTGCTTTTATATCATCTTCCTCGAAAAAGATCATCAATACAATGATACGATAAGTGCAAAGCCACCCTCCACTCATTTTGAACGATCGAATAAATAGAGAACCTTCTATTAGACGCACCGATTTTATCTTTCAGCATAATCTTACCTGGTATGACTGTGTCACATATGTATTCCAGAAAATCCGAATGCTTATGAGTAGCTTACAGGACGTGTTGTAGCTCAGAACTGACTGTTTTCCTCCTGTACAGTACCACCTCGATAACTTTCTGTCTCATTCGATCGTTCTCTTGATCTGTGGAACTAGTCCGGTCTAAAAGCGTTCTTTTATCTGGTCAGATTTCTTACAAATTCAGATCTTGTTGCCTCAGATCTGAGTACATTTTATGTTGGGGTGGTTTTCAGTTTTTCTTATTAATTAAATTTCATGTATAACCCAGCCCCGTATTTGGTGTACGGTGGCTGTAGCTGGGATATATTCATTCACCGATCGGGGTGCATAAAATGATGTTTTGAGTTACCATAACTTCAAACGTTTTATCTCCATAAATTTTTGTAGATATGATTTACAACCTCTCAAGAACTTCGGATCAGTCCACTTAAAATTGTTTCAACCCCGGAAGTGAACAGCATATACTGACAAATATGTTTCGTCTTATCATGGTAGAGACCAAAGTGAGGCTGGGAAGAGAAATGCGTTCATCAACGTTACATTGTTACATGAATCCAGTACAAATAATATTTTCATTATATCAGCCGATAAAATGATCAGTTATCAAAGAGCGAACGTGAACGTTACAAAATACTTGTGACAATATTCGAACTCAACCAAGAGTGCCAAGTTTCTGAGATTCCAGACAAAGAACGCTCTTTGATTTATCTGTGCTTATCATCGGAATGTTGAAAATAAATATCACAGAACGATACACCCCCGCCTTGAGTGTTTGATCAGGTGGGGGTCAACATTGCACTCTAATGTCCAGATGATCAACGTTAACCGTTTGCCTCAAGCAATTTTTGCTGGTTTTTGAATTATTATTGGTAATTCCCTCCGATTACTGAATGATTATATTAGTCATACAAACCACTAACCCGTTTAATTGTGTTACATATATTTACCGTTTTTTACATTGACGCCTTCATTTTCATTATCTTTTCTGTTCGACTTTACTTTCACTCGTTTTATTAGATGCGTCCTTTCTTATCGCCATTGCGCTTACACGCTCATTTTTAAAACTCTCTATGGGATAGGTAAAGGCATTAGTTCGATTCAACAAGAAAGCACAACCGTACCTCCTGATTCAGCTCGTGTAATTACTGCGTTGGTTGACATTCTCACAATACTCACCCACCTCCACGCCATTGATCGATTGTAACCAGGATCCGCCCTATGACCTTTACCCTCCCTGGTCTTCCTGTGTGGTGCTGCGCGAGTATTCCAAACGATGGACAATGCGTCACGCACCACCACTCTTTGAGCTCTGTAAATCTGGTATTCGCCTTTCTTTATGTTTCACTTACAGTTACGTTGTTGTTGGCCTCTGCTGCCGCATTCCACCCAGTGCTACCGCAACTGATCATGTTTCATTTCATTTTATAATATTGTTGCTTTTTCAAGACATTTATTGATTTGTTTAGTCCCAGTTAGAAACAAGTGATAGCCACCGCCCGCCACTCATTATTGAAGGATAATCGCACCCAGAGATTAACTTCGCCAACGCATATAATGACCATCAATTGAGAATCGACTACTTCAGATCATGCAAATTCTTCAGCGGTACAGATTATGCAACCGTATTATCAAGTTTCGTCCGTTTTCACATATTCAAGTACAAATATTGAGATGAAACAATCGGATCAAATAGAAAGGTGGATGAGTCATGTGTTTGACAATGAGCACGAGAGAAGTCAAAATTTGTGCGCTGTTTCGATCACGCAACCAAAGAGCAATTTGGTTTCGGACGTTAGCAACCTCAGAGGCGATTGGCATCCGACTCATGAAGCCTGAACTGTGCGCACAACGAAAAATGATTCAAGCTCTCAAACTCCTCTGGCCAAGGGAAGAGCAAATCGCCTGTTCACATAACCATGACGTGACACAGTGATTTTGGCTGCATAATCCAAACAGCGCACAAATTTAGAGTTCTCTCGAGATCATTATCAAACACGTGACTCATCCACCTTTCTGTTTGACCCCACTGAAATTGGTTCAGATAAGCGTGACTGTAAAGGCTTGAACAGGAGTTCACCGAAAACATATGTTCGCCTACATTGGGTGTTCTTAATCAACGGGCATATTTCGTTATTTATAAATATTGAATTATTATTAATTATAGACAGAGATATTTTTTCTGAGGTAGTTACACATGCATGCATCAGTGGAGATACGCTGTGATTAACTTACTCTGATGTTCACTTCAGTTTGTTTTTGATCAATTATATAGTCATTGCTAACAGACCTAGAGGAAAACGTAAATTGGTAATGTATGTTTAGAGTATCATGTTCGGACTAGGCAGTATTGATGAGTTCCAAATAGGACGAAACAGCTAGTTAATACATTTACTTGCAATGAAAGCATTTGTATCCCTGTCGGGACTTGAACCCCAACCATTGAGCTACATGGTCGACGGTCATCATCTTTTGCGAATGGCATTCGATTGTTCAGAGGCAGCAAGCACGCTTGATGTGGTCTTGTGTGTGAATTTCACTACTTGGGAGATCGTTAATTCTCCACTAGTTGAATATATGATACTCTCAAGCTATTTAATGCTCTTTGTTGGTCATCCCAGAGATTTCTATCACTTAGTCAGGTGTGTGTTTAGAATTTTGAGATCTAACAACGATTTCGTTTGCATATTTACACACTCACACACAGACTACGATACAGTAAGGAACCGAAAGTGCGTCTTAGTTACGGCAGGATAAATAACTTTGCATGATCCTATGCGATTTGGCGAGAGACTTAACGGCTAAAGTTGTATTAGGTAAAGAGTGTTTTTTGCTTGTTTTGCGAACATTCACGAAGTACTTCGACTATTTGCATTTATTCTCACAGAAATGCACGAAAGAAAATTGTCTTATTTTTAAAACATCCAAAAATGCATCCTATCAAAACGCATTGGAGTTCAGGGAAGGATGTGGTAGAAAAGCAAAAACAGTTGTTCATAAAACTTTGAAACCAGGTGTTCCTAAATGTCTTTCTCGTTACGGTCATCCATTGTATGCGACCACTAGATCATATTGTGGACAGAATCACTTTATATTCATTCATTATTGATTTGTCTAAAACGTTGAATAGTTCTGATTTTTTTCTTCATTGTTCTTTCACAAAAGTGCTATCAAGCTTCAATCAGATCCTCATTGTCTTCTTCATCTCCAAATAATTTCATCGATTCATTTAAACGTTCGAATAGATCATCAAACTCTTTCGCGGCCCGATATGCATCACGACTGTCCGATTTTGGTTTCACACACGGTTGAATGCTCCGAATCCGATCGGCTGCTGTCGTGTAGGTTGGTGTGCTTGACATGGATCGCAAATCACGCAGTGCGAATACTTTGAATTGGTTACAGTGATCCAGGAAAACAACAATCAATCGACCTTGCTGACCCATCTCAAGACGAACCAAGGGTTGTAAAGAAGAAAGCGTATCGGATTCCGATGCAGATCGATTCGTGTCCATCGGTGTGAGAAGTGCTTCACCTACCACTGGAAAATACAAAGTTGAACGATTGCTGAAAATCAGAAGCATTAATTGGCCAGAAGTGGGAGACCATACGACGGCTACGATGTTTGTTCCGTCCGGTGTTAGTTTAGCACAGTGCACGACCGGTTCTTCCGGTAGACCGACAATTAGTCCCGATCGATTTAGTGCCCCAATTTGTGCTCCACTCTGCAATTGGAATAGTCTGAGATTCGAATCAATCGCAAAACGTCCGTCAGGTGTGACATCAAGCAAACTGTCCAGATTGCTGAACTGAGTTATCAAGGGATCGGTGTTTGCTTCTGATGCCAGATTAAATGTGGCAATCCATCGGGTTTGATCATGTTCGGACCAAACATATTGTAGAACTGCTATTTTTGGTTGCTGTGCACACGCGAACAGACGTTGAACTTTTGCTATTCGAGCGTAATCATCGTGTTCTTTCAATTGTTTCTCTATATCTAATTCATGAACAACTCTATTGAAGGATGGTGCTGCAAGCAGACGTAGCCATTTGCCCGAACCGCCACAACAAACTAACAGATATTCACTGTCGCCGACCAAACAAGATCCTTCAATGACAGGATGGTCGAGATAGGCATAGCTGAGAAACTCTCCCGTCTCATTCGAGTACCGTGACAGGATGGATTTCGATCTGTTTTGGTCGACCCTGTCCGTTATACCGGAGCTCTTATTTTCCGACAAAGAATCCAAAGGTTGTAGACGCGAATCACTTGCATGATCCGGTCTCAGGGTAAACAACCCGTATTTGTTATTCATTTGAAATATGCTCTCACCCAACAAGGATATTTGTGACCGAAGTCCGGTACCCGATCCGGAATGCTTCATATCATACAATCGGACTATAGTTTGGCTGATACTTCGTTCTGACACACAGGATTCTTTCACAGCTCTTGCTTCACTAGGCTTGGTGACCACAGATGTGTAGTAGTTTGTATTAGGTAACTTGGGTTTGATGTATTCAGATTTAGTTTGAAATTCCATATTGGAAAGAGGCAACGGGGCGGAACCGGCCGTGTCACGAAGCGCGAAGACCAAAGCCAAAAATCGACCGTCATCACTCATGT